GCAGAGGAGGTTTGTGTTGGAGGAGAGCAGCAAGATGAAAACCTCACACTTTTTAACCTTCCCAGCTGATGTACAGATGACATACATAGCACATTGGCAGGGCGTACCTGTACACAGACTGACAGCAGGGCACTGCCAGAATACCAGCTGCTAAAGCTGCCTTCTAACACCAGGAAAGGATTAAACACCCCCTTGGTTTTCATCCTTCTGCAGAACCTGGGGATGTGCATACACGTGCTCTGTCACCTGCTTCAGCACTATTTGGTTTCCCGTAGAAAACCGCTTGTCTTGTGAAAATGGCAAGGCTTTGCTATGGAGATTTAAGAGCACTAATAACCCAATTTTTCACTTTAATTTAGAGCCCGTGCTTCTGCAGGTTTAAGCCTTTAAACCAGGGCAATTGTTGTGATACAGACCGAGTAAGTCTCGACCTCTTGTGGCAAAATGCTTTGCGCAGCAAATACTTAGCATTAAGCCAGCCAGCATCCATTTCCTCTAATTAAAACTTTTTCATCCTGGTGCTGTTTCATCACATAATACCAGGTGAAAAATGTATTTCTTTAATTCAGTGCTGCTCCTGAAACTGATGCCATCGAGCTGTATAACTAAAACCTCTCCAGACTGCAAAATCAGCCAGGGCTCCCCTTTGGAGTGGCGGCTGATGGAGCAAGCCCTGCCACATGCAGGGGAGATGTGACACCCCTCCAAAAGCCAAAAGCAAGTCTCTTTATTCTCTAACTTACCCCTTGGCTTCCAACTGTAACAGCTCCAGAAGTTTTTGCTGATTTTTTTTTTTCCCTTACCTTTCCAATTCGGGCTGGAATTGAAGGTATCGTTAAACTTCTTCACATGGCTCAGGAGCTTGCAGCCTTTCTTTAACACCTCTTCACAAAAGCTCTGCCAAGTCAGTGACTGCCAGGTGTACCCAGAGACAAGCTTTTTTGTGGTTTCTTTTGATCACTGATGTCCTCGTGCCCACAGCAGCGAAGGGCACCCTTAGCTAAGTGCATTACTCCACCAGACACTGCCAGATTAGGTCACGGGAGGCAAAAATAATACAATTTGGATCCAGGATGTTGCAGAAGGAACAGCTGATTCTGGGTGCCTCTGAACTGATGAAGCCTGGTTTCCTGTAGCTGCCCCTGCTGTGGATCCTCTGCTAACGTGGCTGGTGCAGCCCCTCTCCCTCTGAGGGCACCGACTCCTGCTTTTCTAGAAGGCTGCCCCTTGCCACAGGACTTGCAGGATGAGAACCCCACAGGGCCGACAAATTTGAGGTCAGCCTCACAGCTAAAGCATCATTTTTGGAAGGGTGGCAAGAGAAAGCAAACAAACTGCATTTTCTCAGGAAAAAATAAAAAAATTGCCAATGTCATTTTTGCATTGCTGCAAAGGTATTGATGTAGGTGTCAGCAGGGTAAGTGGTGCTTTCCTGCTACTTGTATAAAATACATAAAATACATAAAAAGGACATTCCCACAGACGTGGACAGGAGTTTTTCTGTTATCTTCATCTGCTCATTTCACTGCAGCTGGGATTTCACCCCCCATTTCTGCCCTGCACCAAACCGAGCACCAAAGATATTTGCAACTTGCCCTCCAGCTAACATAACGCACAGTTTCTAAGAAATTAAACAGATCTGGGCTACCGTGAAGTGACTGAGCTGCAATATTTGAAGCCAAGTGGAGATGCCAGTCGAAAAGTACATGCCAAAAAAGCAACCGAAGAGACCCTACTTAATATTTAGGAAAAGCAATGCCATAGAAAATGGCATGGGAAAAAAAATAGATAAAAGTGAAAGATTACAACCACAGAATGATGGCCTGAGTGAGAGGAGAATCGTGGGGCCAGGGAATAGGTGGGGGTGAGGGATGCTCTTTAGGTGGTCAGGGAGAGGATGCTGACACGGGGAGCCAGCCTACATCCACATCCCTCATGCCTCCTGCGAGATCTACATGTTACCTTCTTTAAAATCTTCTTTAAAATCAGATTTTAAGGGTGCAGGGCAGAGTATCCACTCTCCTGCCATGTTTATTATGCCAAGTGCTACAGCAACCTGATTTTTCCAGGAGTCTCCAAGTCTCTGAGTTTTGGGCAAGGGCTCACGAAAACGCTTGTTCAGCCATACAGGGGGAACTCCGGAGGAAGGAGGCTACGATGCAGACAGCTGATGGAAACGCTGCGGCAGCCTCGTGCCGTACTAACCTAACACCACCGAGAGGCGCACGGAAATATGAGATTGTTCGGTCTTTTGTGCGTTTGCTTACGAAAATATTCAAAACCAGGTCTACCCCAAAATTATAGCTCTCCTCCCCCCCCGTATGATAGACATCTTCCCAAATGCATGGCCATATCATTCCTTACAAATATCTCAGGGTGTTATTTCTCGGCCTCAGCTCCTATGTGACCTGCCGTAAAATCTTGTGTTTTAACATTTTTTTTTCCTCACGAGATGGAAAAAACAAGGGTGGCGATAAATCTTAGCTGCATGCCTATTATGAAAATAGAATTGTATTCCCCATTTAAAGCTGAAGCAAATTGTATTTTCACTTACTAATGAGGATAATTTAAGCATAGTGTGAAGGCCACATGTAGCAGGCACCCAAATTTGCTTTTTGCTTCCCCAGAAACCAAGCACTTGGTATGTGAGGACAAGGACAGACTAAATGTGTTAGGGAAATAATACCTTTACAACACAGATATTTAAAGCTCACATAAATGCTGGCTTCACTGTTTAACCTTTTTTAATTCTTCTTGGGCAACAAAGTCGGGGATGCCTTTGACACCAAAGTTCATTTCTGTTGTTCTGCTCACACAACGTGGCACATGGCCGCACAACAACATTGGAGAAAAAGAATTTGCAGTGAGCCATCGGAAACCTTATGGCAACATTTCAATCGGTCCAACATCTCCTCAAACGTGGCTCCCACAGCCAAAATAAGCCCCATTGGATCTGTTTCCTCGCGCAGAAGTGACAGCTCTGCTTTGAACATGACAATTTTCAGGGCTCGTCGGGAAGATGCTGGCAGAGGACGTCCGCCCTGCAAGCGGTGACGGTGCAGCAGTGAGTTATGCAAGTCAGATCTGAAAGGAGTGCCAAAAATCCTTTTACCAAATCATCGCACACTCTACATAACACTTAGCTCACTATAACCCTTTTCATATATACATCTCCCAGCCCCTCACAAAGGAGAAAGTAAAAGCTATTTTAGAAGTAATTTAGGAAGCTTAAAAAACAGCCAGTCACTGTGAAATTTATTAGCATCTTTTCTAAGCCTCACTTCAACTGCCAGTTTATTGAAAAGTGTTATTCTAGTAAAATCCTTAAAAGGAATGTCTCGGGGCTTTCAATGACTACAAAGGACACTTGTAAAGTTAGCTGTTCTCATTAGTATACAGGGGCTAGGATTTGTCGAGGGGGGAAGGAAAGGGGGGAAAGAAAAAAAAGGGGGGGGAATGCAGAATTGATGCATAATTATTGGTGGTAAAAAAACTGGAGCCAAGCACGGTAGCTTTCATAATTTCGGCTGACAGCCGCACACACGCAGCTAACCGTAGTTGTGTAACTCCTCGGGCTCCATCAGCAACGCTGGGTTTTGAGCTCGTTTCCTCCAGCTCTTTCAGGGACGATAATTAAACCGCTCATCCTCGAGTTCAAATTCACCGTGGGCACAGCGAGGGCGCCTATCTGCTCGAGCATCTGAAGGACGCATACGAGAACAACTAGTTTTTTAGTTGTTGTTGGCTAGTGGTTGGATCTGAGGCTAAGGTTTGTTTTTACATTCTCTTGAACTTTATTTATTTTTATTTTTCTTTTTTTCCTGGAGTAAGAAGGAAACAACAGAATTTCAAATAAAAACTCCTTTGAAGCAAGGGCAACCTACACGGCGCGTTATTGTATTTGAGGAGAAGAACTAATGACAAACCTAAAACCCCATTCCGAGCCGTGCAGAATGCCACAAAAGCAGCCTAAGTTATGAGAGAAAGGACTTCAGATGTTAGTAATTAAGGAGGCTCTAAAATGCGCTGAACTTCTTCCTTTGCATCTCACAGGCTTTGATATGGAAAAACTGCATTCTACTTATAAATTAGTCAAGATAAAGCTAATAATAACACCACGTACTCCTCCTAGCACACGAGGAATTCGGTGAAACGCTGTAAAATCCTTCAGCGCCAGTTTTTATCAGGAGCTGGCCGGGGAGAAAGCAAGCTAAAATATGTAGTGCATTTGTCAGAAAACTAATTGCACAAGTAAACGTAGCTGCTCGCGCTGCTCTCCTGGACAAAGGCAAACATCTTCCATTTTCTTTCATGTGGGATTGCTACCTTCTTCAAAGGAGAAGCTTTTACCTCAAATTGAGTGGGGGCTGGGAGATTGTTATGCTCCGGTCTGTCTGATGTGTTCAGTTCTGATCTCGAAGCCCGTCCTTTGACTTGTAAAAAAACCTAACGCAGGGTTTCGCCAAGGAAGCCATTCAGCACGGGTGCTGTGACCTCATCGACATCAGCATCCAATTCTACCAACATATTTTTAATAATTTGCCCTTATTGATGCACGACTGACTGCCTAGACCTCCCTCCCCCCTTTTTATTATTTTTCTCCCTCTCCTCTCCCTGAACAAATACAAACCAAATAGGTAACAAACCCCAGCTCTGCTCCTTCCCCGGCACAAGGTACCTAAATTTTGCTCTCGGAGCCATCTGACTTACAAATTCCGACAGCCACATTCCCGGCTGCTCGAAGGGGCGTCTCACGGCTCGCGAATGAACGAACGCTGCTGGCAAACAAAGGGGCTCAGTTGCATCTCCGTGCATTAATAACCGGTGTCCCACTGCATCAGACGATGCGGATTGTCGTGGGGGATTTTTTTTTTTTTTTTTGTGTCTGCAAAATGGAGATCTCACAACCGAAAGGAGATCAAGGGAGCATCACCCACGTAGTTTTGTTCACACGCCCCGAAATCCACTTCCCCCGTAACAATGAGACACAGACCCCAAAATAAAAACAAGACCACGTTTATTCAATACAGACAGGTTAATTAAGACAGTAAGTCCTGTAAATCAGGCACAACATTTCAAACGCTCCGGTACGAAGTGCATATATTTAATCAACAGCTGCATCTTGTAGTTGAGCCATTGAGTTTGCCGGGGAGGGGTGGATTTGTTTTCTGAGGTTGTTTTTTCTTCTTTTTTTTTGTAGAAAAAAAGAACTTGTTTCGGCTACCTTAGGCGAACAATGCATCTCAGGCTCCATTCACTCCTCAGGCGTCACAATTATAAGTCCAGCTGCCTTCCAGCTCCGATATTCACATTTTTTTTAAAAAAAAACAACTGCTTCATACAGTCACGATGGGAAAGAAGGGAAAAAAAATATTTAAAATAAAATTAAAAAATAACAACAACACCCGGCCAACACTCGGGGGAGGGAGCTGGGCACCCCCTCCCCCTCTTTCCATAGGGTTTCCACACGGGATTATTGCAGATGGCTCTGGCCGGAGCGGGACCCCGGGATTTTGGGGGAGAGGAGGAGGAGGAGGAAGGTGAGGAGGAAGAGGAGGAGGAAGGGGGGCTCAGGGCTTCACCCCAAGCCCCCCAGTCCCCCGCTGGCGGCTTCTCCTGCAGCCCAGCTCGCCCTGAGGGGGGTGAGGGAGCTACTGCAGGGCCCGCAGCGCCTCGCCGTCCCCTCCGCTGGCCGCCGAGGCCGAGGAAGCCGAGGACGAAGCGGCCGAGGAAGAGTTGGAAGCCACCACCGCCAGCTGCAGCCGCCGCACGGCCTCCTTGATCAGGTTCCCGGACAGGATGAGCTGCTGCAGGAGCCGGTGCGGGTCGTCGCCGGCCTCATCCTCCGCCTGCCCATCCGCCGGCCCCTCCGCCGCCCGATGCTGCTGCCTCTGCTGCTGCTGCTGCTGCTGCCGCCGGGGCTCCTGGCTCCGCCGGGCGGCTCCCCGCAGCCAGCCGCGGCCGCACAGCTGCTTGGCCCCGCGGGGCGGCCTCCCGCTGCCGGCCAGCCGCGGGGGGGGCGGCGGCGGCTCCACGGGAGCCCCGCTGCTGCTGCTGCCGCTGCTGCCTCCGCTTCCTCCCCCTCCTCCTCCTCCTCCTCCTGCTCCTGCTCCTGCTCCTGCTCCGCAGCGGGGCGAGTAGGGCGCGGCGCGGTCTCGGGCGCTGCCCGGCCCCGGGTGCTTGCAGCCGCGGGGAGCCCGCTGCTGGGCGCTCAGCTGCAGCACCTCGCCCAGCTTGGCCACCAGCGCCTCCACCTCCTTGGGGCCGCCCGCCGAGCTGGGCAGCGGCCGGCACGGCATGGCGGGGACCGGGCTGAGGGGAGCCGGGTGAGGGGAGGGGGGGGGGGGACCCGGCCCGCAGGCGGCCGCGGCCGAGGCTGGCGCCCGGCCCCGCTGCGCTGCGTTTGTAAACAATGGGTGACGCGCCAGCCGCGGCGCCTCCCACCGCCGCCATCTCGGATAGGGGGGGGACAACGTGAGGGGGAAAAAAAAAAAGGGAGCCGCCCGCTCGCCGCCTGCCCCACGCTGGGTGAGCCGCGGGGTTGGTTTCAGCCAGAAGGTGAAGGGTGGAGTGGTGGTAAGGGGGTGTGGGGCGCGGTGTGGGGTCGTTTTGGGGTGTTGGAGAGCCCCCCCCCCCCCCATGCGGAGGTCGGTGTGGAGCGGCCCGCGTTCAAACCCCGCAGCTCGGCGCGGGGCGGGGCCGCTGCGAGTGGCAGCGGAGGGCGGGGAGAGGCTGAGGCAGAAGGGGGGTGGTGGGGCCGGGAGGGGGGGGTGCCGCCGGTCGCCTCAGGACAAGGGGCCGGGCAGGGCGGGGAGCCGGCGGGGGGTTGGTGGTGGGTGTAAGCCCCCAGCGCTAAGAAGCAGCGCTGGGACTTCATTTTGCGTTATCCCAATTAAAATCACGCAATTATTAGGGTTGTACAAGCCCTCCGAGATCACCTGGTGCAACCATCCCCCTGCCACCAGTGTCACCACTGAGCCGTGTCCCCAAGCACCACGTCCAACCTCTCCTTCAGCACCCCCAGGGACGGGGACTCCACCACCTCCCTGGGCAACCCGTCCCAGTGCCTGACTGCTCCTTCTGACAGAAATGTCTCCTCATTTCCAACCTGAACCTCCCCTGGTGCAATATGAGGCCATTCCCTCTAGCCCTACCACTGGTTACCTGTGAGAAGAAGCCGACCCCCAGCTCCCCACACCTTCCTTTCAGGTACCTGCAGAGAGCCATCAGCAGAAGTGAAGCAAGGCTGCACTGCTGCCACCCTCCCAGGCTTCTACCCATGGTTTGTTTGATACCCCAGGCCAAGACCCACTCCATCCTGGGCCATCCTCTTCCCATCCCAGCCTATTTTCCCCTGCCACCATCACATTCAAGCCAGTGCCAAGGTCTCCGTGAGGAGCCTCAAACAGCATTTTCTGGATTTCAAAACATTACGAGCGTGGGCCAGCATGTGCTCATTCATGTGTCTGTGTGGTAGGAACGGCCTTGAAACCAGCGGAATTGCCGGGATAATGGAAATAGCTCACACACATAAATAACTGTTATCAGCACCGGGTCCCCAGTTAATAAGTAAACACTTGGCAGAGGAGAAGGAATGTCCTTTGATCTGTTTGCCGATGCTTTTCGGAGCTACTTTCACTTGCTGGATGAAATGAAAGGGACTCTGTGTGTGTGTGCACGTGTCTATGAATGGTGCCTGTCATGTGAAAGTGTTACTGGTGGCTTCAGCTTAGATGTCCAGCTCCATTACTACACGTCCAGGCTGGATTTATGTGAGCCGGGCACAAAACCATGCGCATTGTTTATTCACATATCTTTAACGCACTGCTACTTGCTTATTTTCAGCACCCTCTGGGTAACAGGCAGTTAGAGCTGATCACGTTGTTCCACAGATAATAAAAACGTGGGGTCTTGTTTCCCCACGTCCAAAGTGCTTTAAGCAAACGCTTCTCCCATTATTCACTAACTCTGCGGTGTCTTTTCAACTGGAATAAAGAAGGGCCTACACAGATGCAGCAGAGGGATCGACTTCAATTGCGAGGGAGATCTATATTCAGAGCACTTCTGAGAAGGTAATCTGGTATTCTGTACGAGCAAAACTGCAATAAGCCGGTACAGCTTATTCCAGCCTTTTCTTCTCCTCCCACAAAGCAAAATAAGCTATACCAGCAAAAGCTCAGTGTTGCTCGTGATTACATCTACACCTGGGGCTTTCATGAGCCCGGCAACGATAATCACAAATCGCACATCATTGCATCCCCAGCCGACTGCAGCGCTGGGAAAAGTTTGCCGTATGGAAGAGATCACTGCCCAGATAGGGAGATCAGAGCGCAGTCAGTAACCGAATCCCGGTGTCCTCAGATCTTTTTTCATGCTAAACTTCTGCGAGGAATGATTGACAATCGACTGAGTAAGTATCTGCCGAGGAGTTCAGGCTGAACCCACTGCAAATATTTACACTGAATACTCCTAATCAGGGCTAATAGTTTTCCCACCTCAACAAAGCGAGTGTTGTAAATTTGCATATTTTAAGGAGTTACCATTAGAAGGGCGTTGCAGCTTGCATTCTCCCAGAGGAATTCACCAACCTCAGCCTTTATTTTGGAATTCTAACTGCTCTCTGCAAGCCAGGGTGAAGGAAAAAAAAAAAAAAGAGAGTTTAAATGCTGGAGAATACAACGTGCCCCGCATGGGAGCTGGCTGGTGTGCTTACATGGGAAACCTGTGCCAAAGTGGGCTCAGCAGGACTTCGCTTTGTGCTCCCTTCTGCTGGGTGGATCTCTGCACCCAGCAGCCTCTCTGGGGTTAAACCCAAGCCAACTCCAGGAGCAAGGTCTAAGCTGTCAACAGCCGAGATCAGATGTTGGTGGCAGAAATCACTACGGCGGTTTATTAACCGTGAGCTGTTTGCTCGTGCCTCTCAGCCCGTGGCAATGGGAACAACATAAACAGTGGGTTCTGCAGTAAAGCAGCTGTCGTGCATGTATGTGCCCTGGTGCAGACCTAGTGAGTGTAATAACAGGGCTCGCTGCCAGGTAGAGGATGGGGCTTCCTAAGCTACAAACTTACTAAGAAAAACATGAAGGGTAAGAGCAGGTTCTTCTAAAAATAAAAGGGTGAAAACAGTTCATAAACAGCTGACAACATTTTTCTGACCACTAGTGACATTTTTTCTGAGGGGTAGTTTGAAGGTCACTGGTATTCTGCATTTCATTTTTATTTTATTTTATTTTATTTTATTTTATTTTATTTTATTTTATTTTATTTTATTTTATTTTATTTTATTTTATTTTATTTTATTTTATTTTATTATTATTTTATTTTATTTTATTTTATTTTATTTTATTTTATTTTATATTATTTTCCTGGGATTGATACACTTCTCTGTACTGTCTGCTTCTGCTGCGGGGCTGCCAAAATTACGACTGCAAACTGTTGTCTAAGTCACCCCATTAACAAGACATAACAGTTGCAAACAGCACCCGGTTCCTTCCCTTCATTATTATTGCCCGTATGTACTCTCCCTTTATATTTATCCATTCACATTTTTTAGATATCAGTCTTTAAGATATTTTTAGAAATACTTGACTTTCAGATATCTCTGGCACTGCTTAGAATCAGCAGGTTTCATAAACAAACACTAATTGTGTAAATTATGTGGCCACCAAGAGTTTTTACATAATTTTGCAGGGTTTCCTGAGGACACGTTCTGCTTCAGAACATAAAGGTCAGATTTTATACCTTACCTCCTGTACTGATCCTGACAAGGTGGACAAGTGGGTGTGACTTCTGAGCTTTAAACCTATTAAGAACAAACAAAGAAAACCCTTAAATCCCTTGAATCTGCAATCCGGTGTAATCCTGGCTACGTAAGTAGAAGTCCTTCCACTACATGTATGTGTTTGGGATCATGTCTATGTTCCAACCAGCCACACAAAAACAACAACCCAGCCGCCGTGGAGCGAGAAATAACGCTGAATTTGGGCAGGTGTTTACGTTTCCAAACCTTAGGCTGGGGCTGGGCGATCTATGAGCTCAGACTTTGGTGTTGGGTGTTAAAATAAATCAGATTGATAAGTTCATGGAAGAGACTGGGCAGTGTTGCATCATAATGGCCAAGTATTTATAGCGTTGTTTATGAAACAGTAAGAGGGCTTTGAACTCGGTGAACCCCGGGACCAGGAGGTCCTTTCTAGCCCTTTGTTTCCGTGGCCGTTTCTCATGTCTTTTATTTCCAACAGAAACTTCTGTCATATCTATTAAATATGCGGAGCTTCTCTCCGTAACAATAGAGGTAGTGCCCATGAGTGATGCTTGTGCAGAGTAAATTAATTTCCTATGGGCGCTTTACAATGCAGAACGGGGAGAGGCCCGAATACCATCCAAATAAGAGGAGCCGAGATTCCCAAATCATCGTTTTGTAACCTGCATTTAGAATACATTTCCAAGAACAAAAGACATTCCTTTAGAAACAGCTGAGGTTGCTAAGTGACACAAATGTATTTACGGTGTCATAACTTGCAAAATCCAAACACATTAGGGCAAGGGAGCTAATAAGCAGAAATGTCACCGACTCCCGGTAAATATAAATACGTTGGCCAACACTTCTACATGGGTTTGGGTTTCCCGGTCGGAAACCTTGATGGAAACAGAAAACGTTGCTTGTTTTTGAAAACGTAGCCTTTTGTTCTTAGGAAATTCAAATATGCATATTTTGTCACAACACAGGAACCTCAATTCAGACCTACAGGATTTGTTTTTCTTGTATTGTTTCTGCTTATCCTCGCCCAATTTCCTCAGAAGTCTCCTTGAGGGATGCAGCTTACCAGCAGCTATAGATGCAGCCACCTGTGAGGCTGAGTTGCTTCTTTCTGCTGAAGTTTTGACTGTTTCTTACATCTTTTACCCACAAAACCATTAGCATTGGGGTGAAAAGCTAAAGCTGGCACCTTCTGCTTGCCTGCTTACAGTGCCTGGCAAACCAAGGTGCTGCATCCCAATTTGTCCACACACACGGGACGAGCATTTTATCCCCTCTACAGGGGACCACAGGAGCCTGATCCTTCCCTTTCCCTAAGCTACAAAACCTCTTCTTCATCTTCTGATACACACAAGCACCCCTGGGTCCCCTGTGCCCCAGATGTGCAAACGTGCCCGGTGTGTGGGGATTGCTTCAGAGCAGCGCGTGGAGCCACCTGGTTATTATGGGCTGTCGAGTTGCCTTGCACAACAGCCTCTGCTAGTTCAGGAATGAGGCGGCAGGCGTGGGAAAGGAGCCTTCAGACACCTCGGTGATGCACCAAACTACGGGGCAACCAGGTCTTTGTTTGTTTATTCAAATAATTGACTCGCTTCCAGCTTTCCTAATAACCGGAATGCATT